TGCCATGAAGTTTTTGCTTTTATTATACTTTATGGCATAGTTTTCAAATGCTATCTGCCATAAAGTTTTTGCCATATTATACTTTATGGCAAACATGGTATCAAGTGATTGTCAGACTTGAGGACTCATAAAAGTCTTAGGTATGGACTACTATTCAAAGATGTTACAGTTTTTTCTAGGGTTAGAATAGTTGAGATCTAGAAAGCATAGACATTTTTTACACTCTGGATAGACTTTATTCTTGAAGGTCATCAGAAATGAGGTTGGAATATCGAGGTTTTGAGCAGGGGGAGCATCTTATATTCACCCTTAAATTGTTATTAATGCATCCCGTTTTCTTCATTCCCCAATAGCTATCTCATTTCACTGTCTCAAAATTTTGTTTTAAAATAATAGAAATGTTTTGCCATTATTAAGTACCACTTTATTCCCAACAAAAATAAGTACTCAGGACTTTTTTTCAATATGAAATATTTATGTAATGTTTTATGGTATGTGGTAGAGGAAGTGAAATGTAATGTTCTCAGTTTTGTTCCATATTTGCATTCCTTTTATGCTTTACCTGTATTTTATCATTTGTAAGCAGAACTCTAGCTATATGTATAGAAATAAAATCTCTGAGATGAAACAAAGGAATCACACATGATAAAATTTAGGCAAAGTAGTTAAGAAATGGCCCTTTTGAATGTTGAAGATAGGAAAGTAGCCATATATTCAAATGTAATTTTCCTCCTTTAGTTATAATGACATCTTTTCCAATTGGGCTTCATAAATGTGTTTCTTTCTTAATAGTATCCTATTTCCAGCATATATTCAACATGAATTTTATCATTCTCCTCCTAATGGAATGTCTTCCTTATAGAAATGTTCATGACAAATTCATTTGTTTTTTACATGTCAATAATGTATGCTAAATTAAAATGTTTTCCAGTTATTCTGATAGATGTCATTATGGCATCCTTAATTTTTCTTCTCCTTCTGTATATAGGGGAAGGGACTGTTCTGAAGAACCTTTCCATTTAGTGATCAAGATATGGAAGCTGATTTCTGAAAATGCTCAGTGTATATTCTAATTATTTGTGGTACCATTTGAACTGTAACTTGCATTTTAGCAGCGCATGTTTCTAATTGACTTACTGGGAAACTGAATAAAATATGCCTCTTATTATCATATTGTCTCCTGGTTTTTTTCTTTGCTAAGTTCAGATTTTCCTCACAAACATCAAAACATTTTCAAAGCATTAGGTGCAGTGTACACCAAAGGGTGTATTATATTCATGTTCCTGTTACATACATTTCTGCTTTGGTTTTCCTAGTAATGGAAACATAGATAAGAAATGAGCCAACTCCCTTTTTTATAACGATAAACATAAATTGGTTCATTGCCCATATGATAGCTTGACAAATCTTGGGCTCTTATCCTCCGTCTACCTACTCTTTAAATTTTCTTCTTTGAAGGAACTGTTTTCGGCTTTTCAAAATAGTGAGTAAAATAAGACAGTGTAGTTTGTGAATCTTAGTGCATGCAAAGCAGGATTGGAGAAAGGCAGAATGACCTTGTAGAATGCACTCACCCACCCACCCTGTCGGAGCTAACCATCACAGAGTGGCAGGTAGAAGCTAGTCTGGTTGAATCCGGGCTAAGAAATGGTCAGATGGCACTGGCTCTGGATAGTCTTCATGTAAAGGCCCCAGTTATAATTTTCTTGGACTGCATAACCATCTAAAGTGGCTATGAGGTTATCATATCTGATACATTTTAGGGAAAATAGTGTGCAGGATGTATTGGTTGAGGACCTTTCACACATACTTTTTTTCTTTTTTTCTTTTTTTGTTGAGATGGAGTCTGTTGCCCAGGCTGGACTGCAGTGGCATGATCTTGGCTCACTGCAACCTCTGCCTCTTGGCTTCAAGTGATTCTCCTGCCTCAGCCTCCCAAATAGCTGGGATTACAGGTGCCTGCCGCCACGCCCCATTAATTTTTGTATTTTTAGTAGAGACAGGGTTTCACCATGTTGGCCAGGCTGGTCTTGAACTCCTGACCTCAGGTGATCCACCTGCCTCAGCCTCCCAAAGTGCTGGGATTACAGGCGTGAGCCACCACACTCGGCCCCACATACTTTAATTAGAAAGATTCAACCTCATGAAGATCCTGTGAGCTGAGAACCATCAATGACTGGAGAGCTAAACATGGGAATTTATGAGCAAACCAAGTCTAAGTTTTCCTGAACAGAATTTACATGTGTGTTACAAACTGCCAAATGTTTTCTTCTTCAAAGATAATAGTGGACGCTGACTTCCACCAAGTATGAAAAATAGCCAAATATTTTGTATTCATGTCTCCAGTTTTGTCCACTACATAACGTGGTCAAGTGGGTCCAACTTCACCTGTTTGAACCAGGTATTTTTCCCCCTTCAGTCTACAGAATAAAGGAGATGATACATCTCTAATCCCTACAAAACTTGCACTTCTGGTCCCAGTCCCATCTCCATGCCCATTCCCACTGCTAGTCTCACTGGAAGGGTTTGTATTTTGCACCATACCATTTCCGTGTGCCTTGGCACACGCCTTGCAAGAAACGACATTGTTAGGAATTATTGTTCCTGCACCTGACTAATGCTAAAGACGTCCATTATCACGATGGTCTGCCCTCCTGTGTCATTCTTACTTCCCTGATTATTTTGTGAATACTTGTATATGCCAGGCACTTTCGCTGCTAGTCATTTAACCCTCACATGACTACATGAGATAAAGACAGTCTACCCACTTTACACATCAGAAAAATGAAGCAAGAGAGGTTAAGGAAACTGCTGAAGGTGTTAGAGGTGTTCAGTGGCAAGAGTCGGTTTGAATTTAGCGTGGCGACAGAGCTAGCGCTTGTAACCACTATGTCATGCATGACAACTGGTAGTCAAGTATACCTGCCAGGATACAGTCGCGAGCAAAACAGGCATGTCCTTTGTGAAGGTTTTACAAATACAAATTACATCATGACCCTCGGGGTGAGGGGAAGAATCCAGGTTGCTAAGGAAAGTAGAAATGAGAATGGAAACAGCGGGCTTGTCGAAAAGGTTCAGTACACAAGTTAGAAGGAATTGTAAGAATTAAAGATGGTTTGTGGGAAACGGGTCACTGAGAGTTGGAATTTAGTGAAAATGTAAGTCCACTTTGGCATATACTTTTATGAGAGGGATATTATACCACTTTGGATTAATGAGACTGATTGGGATACATAGAGGTAAAATTTCATTATGCAACTGTTAGTTTTCTATTGCTGTGCTATTTGATTCTAGAAAATTCTTTGAAATTAAACTAAAAACTAAGCATGCTCTCTGTGACCCCTGCCTCTAAGAAAACTTTGAGCCTTAAGCTACTAAAGCTGGAAAAGCTACAGTTGTTCTCTTCAGCATTTATTTGAATTATCCATTAATTCACTCATCCCTAACTCAAACATTCCATCTCATTTGGAGAGATGATACCCAAAGATTTAGTGGCTGTCTTTGTATGTGGGGTTATGGGGGGAGAGGCCTTTTTTTTTTCCTTTTTTTTTTTTTCTTAGATGGAGTCTTGTTCTGTCGCCCAGGCGGTGGCTGTGGGCGATGTCAGCTCACTGCAACCTCCACCTCCCAGGTTCAAGCAATTCTGTCTCAGCCTCCCGAGTAGCTGGGATTACAGGTACCTGCCACCATGCCTAGCTAATTTTTGTATTTTTAGTAGAGACATGGTTTCACCATCTTGGCCAGGCTGGTCTTGAACTCCTGACCTCATGATCCACCCACCTCAGCCTCCCAAAGTGCTGGGATTATAGGTGTGAGCCGCCGTGCCCAGCTGCCTTTTACTTTTCATTTGGTACCTTTGGGTAATGGTTGAAGTTTTAATCGTGTATTTTTTAAAGTTTTAGAAAAATTAATTTTAAGGCTGGGCACGGTGGCTCAAGCCTGTAATCCCAGCACTTTGGGAGGCTGAGACGGGTGGATCACGAGGTCAGGAGATCGAGACCATCCTGGCTAACACGGTGAAACCCTGTCTCTACTAAAAAATACAAAAAACTAGCCGGGCGACATGGCGAGCGCCTGCAGTCCCAGCTACTCGGGAGGCTGAGGCAGGAGAATGGCGTAAACCTGGGAGGTGGAGCTTGCAGTGAGCTGAGATCTGGCCACTGTACTCCAGCCTGGGTGACAGAGCAAGACTCCGTCTCAAAAAAAAAAAAAAGAAAAATTAATTTTAATTCACCAACCATCCACTTAAAACCCAAACACAGTATATCCCCAAATATCTGAACCCCTGATTTATGTACGTTACATCAATCCTTTCATCACATCTTTCAAAGTATGATCCAAGAACCACCTGCATTAAAATCACCTAGAATGTTTGTTTATAGTGTGTGTCCATGGGTCCCACTTCCAAAGACTGTTTCAGAGGGCCTGCAATAGAAGCTAGGACTCTATTTTGTTTCCTTGATTCTTAGGGGCAGTAAGTTTGTCAGTCATGTAGTTTTCCTTTTTCACTAGTTAATGAGTTATGTGTTGGCTGAATGAATTTCAACTAACCAGCCTTAAGACTTCCAGCAGTGCAGAGCCTGGAAAAAATTCTAGTAACATGACATTTTCGCTGCTCTGTGGACAGTGATCTTACCCATTTTTTTCTTCAACATTTAAAAAATACTGGGTCTGAGTGGAAGAGGGTTATTTCATGCCTAAACCTGTAGTTGGGCCCCAAAGAGAACAATCTTTCATATATATGACAAAGAAAGGCCGGGGACATAGAAAATTTCTAAGGATTTGGGAGGAGCCAGGGGGATCTAGAGGATCGTGTACATTAATAGAACAACAACTTCTTTAGCTTTTAAGGGCTAAGTAAATGCCCAAAGGATAGGTCAAAATGACAGATCTGTGGAGATAAGGGCACAGGAAAAAAAAAAAAAAATGATACCAGAGTGGGAAAGACCTTTTAAAAAATCAACTCATGACTACATAACAAGAACTATAGCTGCAATAAGTCAATTATACCATTTATTGATGGAATGATGCTGGAAAACAATCACTGAAAAAACAATAGCCTTTTGAATAGAATAGTCTACTAAGTGAACCATTTATTTGAAACACAACATGCAAAAGATTGTCAAATATGTCAGTATAGAAGCCTGTGGGTTTATATAGAGACATCTCAGCAGTGCTTTTCACCAGTTCCACTACGTATCACATCAAGCAACCGTTTGGTGATTTTGGGGGATTGTTCATAGTACCTGTGTCTTGGAATAATTAACCATATCTTAGTTGGGCTTCTTAGAATAGATCTGTTCACACTGAGACGTGTGAAAGAAAAGAGTTATTTTTGTTCAATGGGTGAGCAGCACTTATCCTTAGCAATAAGGGAAGGTGACAAACAGTTTAGCTTCTGCATAGAGAACGGTCTATTCAACACTGTATTTTGTCGGTAAAGTTTCTTTTTGGTCCCAAAGTTTCTCTTCGGTGCCTTAATTTCTTCCTTCTGATTTTCGGGAAAAGACAGAGGTATAGGTGAAACTGGCATTGGAGACCTCGATGGCAGACATCTTGTGGAGACCATTTTAACCAGTGATTGAGTTGTTTGGCCAGTAGTAGGCTTGGAAGAAAGTTCTTGGCATGGATTTAAAATATAACTTTTGGGATTCTTATAAGTTTCAATCAATTGTTTTGTGGTGGAAAAACTTTTTAGAGGCGGTGGTCTAGTATTCCATTTATATTTGCCAGCATTGCTCCAATTCCATTTTAAAGCATTTTGCTCAAGTTTGCAAGAACCAGAGTTGTTTTTACTTCTTTCTTGACTTTTATCTACACAAGGTATCTGAAGACTCAAAGAGTCACAAAGTTTTAGCTGTCTCGCTTTTGGTGTAGCTTTGGAGGAAGAGGGTCGTTCAGTAACTGCTGGAGTACAGAAAGTCGCTGGTAGTCTTGGCCTCTCTTTTTGAATAGTCATATGTTGTAATCGTTCTAGTTCCAGTAAACGAGTTATCAAGTGTTCAATAGAGCTTTCTGCAGGTTCCACTGTCGCCTTCCAATTGTCAGATTTGGAAAGGGCTAAATTGTGCAAGTCTAGAGTACTGAAAGCAGGAGGGAGAAAATCAGGATATGGAAATACTTCATTTGGCTCCTCGGTGAAAGGTTCCTCAACATTTTTTATTGTTTCTGGCTTCAAGTTCAGGTCCACCTTTTTAAAAGAGCTAAGTAAAGTATCATTTGCTTTCTCATTTTCTGATAAGTCACTTTCATCTGTTAAATTTTCTTCCACACTGCTGCTTCCGTGTTTCAAATTCCAAATTGGAGCAGGTAACGTTTCACCATCGTCGTTTTCTATAGCTGAACATGAACTAAATTGAATCTCATTTCTGTTCTTGAAAAAGTCTCCATCAGCATGGGGCCAGCAGAGACCTAGTGGCACCGGCAGTCCAGGGTAAGGACCGACCTGCTCGTCAGCTGAAGTGCTTGGGAATGGGTGGCTCAGAGTGAAGAGCCTGATGGGATTAGTGGTTACGTTAAAGCCAGTTTCCACTGAAGATTTTTTGAATTCCCTTTAAAAAATAATTCAATGAATGGTTTATTGACTAGAATTAAAATGCTATGAAAATGATAAGGTTAAGTACCCTTTATCAAAGGCTGGTTAATGTGTAGCTCCCAATGGCATATATGGATCTAGCTACCTGTAACAGAAATATGTTAGTTTCCAAAAATGCTCTAATATACAACTACATACATTTTTTAAAATATAGATTAAAATATTAACTGGGCATCCCTTTGTGCAAGCACAGGTGACTAGATTATGATACCTAAAATGGCTAACCGTGGCTGTGGATAGACAATAGGTTAAAGGTGGATAACTATATGTTTGCCGATAGTGTACATGCGATTCTTAGGTTTGAAAATGAGGATAGCTAACTCAAACTGAAATTAAAATGAAATGTTTATTGATCCAGACTTAGATAAAAGGAAACTCAAAGAATGTAATTATGTTACTTTAAAAAGCCTTCTATGTTAGCCACTGTGGTTTTTAAAAATTACTGTAACAAAAAAGGAAGCGAACAATGTCTATCAAAAATTATCCCAGATATAGTCCCTAGTAATTTTCATGTAATGATGCTCTTCTATTTTAGGAGTAATTCTAGGTATTATGGTAAAATGAAAACTACAAAAAAACCATAGAATACTGAGTTTCTAGTTAGTTTTTATTTTTTAAAGATAACTAGAAATACTGAGATTGAAAGATTTGATGCATTAGTTGACATATAGGCTTGATATCCTCTTGCTTCTTTTTAAGCCAGTTGACATTAAAGATAACAAAATAATCTGGAAAGTTTTGAAAAATACTTCCGAGGCCAGGCGCAGTAGCTCGCACCTGTAATCCCAACACTTTGGGAGGCCAAGGCAGGCAGATTGCTTGCACCTGGGATTCTGAGACCAGCCTGAGCAACACGGCAAAATTCATCTCTACAAAAAATGAGCTGGGCATGGAGGCATGCGCCTGTAGTCCCTGCTCCTCCAGAGGCTGAGCTGGGAAGACCGCTTCAGCCTCAGGTGGAGGCTGCAGTAAACCACGACTGCACCACTACAACCCAGCCTGGGTGACAGAATGAGGCCCTGTTACAAAAAAAAAAAAGAAAAAGAAAAAGAAAAAATACTCATTTAGCTAATACTAGGTATACTGCCTTGCCTTTGAAAAACCACAGGAAAATCACTTTAAATCTACAAGTGTTAATAGACACGTACATGTAGTATGAAGAGTGTGAAATCCGGAAGGGGAGGGCCTAGGTTTGAACACCTTTGCTACTGAGCAAAATGGAAATGATAATACCTACCTTGGAGGTAGTCTGAGAAGCAAGAGAATTTATATGAATGTGCTTTGCAAAATGTTAAACACTAAGATATTACTTTTATTCTTTTTACTTGTTGATGGTATATTGAGGAGAAAAATCTTTCATTGATACCAAACCTCATTTCTGCAACATTATTAAACCTATCCAATATTAATAGCAACACATTGTTCTGTTCAGTCTTCACGACCTCATGAGATAGGCACTTTTATTTTCCACCTTTAACAGATAAGGAAGCGGGGGTGTAGAGTGGCTAAGGTCACACATCTAGGAAGTGGACGAGCTGGAAGTGACTCCACGTGGTGGACTCCCATGCCCCTGGTCCTAACCACTGCATTCTACTGCCTCATTTGTTCACTCCTCTGCTACTGTGATAAAATTCAATTCACTTCGTTTGACCGCCTATCTTGAAATACTTTTTCCCAGCTGAGGTTTTTTCTCATAAAAATGGCCTTTTTTATCCCCATCAGCACCAACATTGCTTTAGGTCATCAGTCACCACAACTGCCATAGAACTTGATTTCCCCATTGAATTTTAACATAAAGTGAACTTCACCCCAGGCCTCACAGAGGTAAAATCCTCTGACTAGGACATGGCTGGTATCAAGTGAACCACTCTCCTGCTAAACTACACAAAAGAGCCCTGAAACTCAGGATCCATGAGCTAAGACACTGTGTAAAGTTCCACAAAGCAGTCCTCAGTAAGCGTTCATTTCCAAAGACTGTAACCTGGCTTTCTAAGAAGCCTTCTAGCTAGTCCTAATGCACGGTAAAGTTTAAGAATCAAAAAATAAGAATTAAAAGTCAGGATCCAGGCATGGTGGCTCATGCCTGTAATCTCAGCACTTTGGGAGGCCGAGGTGGGTGAATCACGAGGTCAGGAGTTCAAGACCAGCCTGGCCAAGGTGGTAAAACCCCGTCTCTACTAAAAATACAAAAATTAGACAGGCGTGGTGGTGGGCACCTGTAATCCTAGCTACTCGGGAGGCTGAGGCAGAGAATTGCTTGAACCTGGAAGGTGGAGGTTGCAGTGAGCTAAGATCGTGCCATTACACTCCACCCTGGGCAACAAGAGCGAAACTTTGTCTAAAAATAAAATAAAATAATAAAAAAGATTTAAAACTCAGGTAAGGTTGGGTGCAGCAAACCACCATACCTATGTAACAAACGTGCAAGTTCTGCACATGTATCCCAGAACTTAAAAAAGTATAATAATAAATAAAAAAGCAGCCTGGCGTGGTGGCTCACACCTGTAATCCCAGAACTTTGGGAGGCCAAGGTGGGTGGATCACCTGAGGTCGGGAGTTCGAGACCAGCCTGACTACATGGAGAAACCCCGTCTCTACTAAAAATACAAAATTAGCTGGGCATGGTGGCCCATGCCTGAAATCCCAGTTACTCAGGAGGCTGAGGAAAGAGAATCACTTGAACCCAGGAGGCTGAGGTTGCGATGAGCCGAGATCATACCTTTGCTTCCCAGCCGGGGAAAAAAAGTGAAACTCCATCTCCAAAAAAAAAAAAAAAAAACAAAAAAAACCTCAGGTAAGGTCTGAGAAGCGATATACTGTAATGTCTATAAGCCTGAGCCAGGTTACTTTCATAACCTGGTTCCACCTTTCATTAATATTGTGCGACTCTGAGCAAGTTACTTGTCACCATGCCTCAAGCGTCCTCAACTGTAAAACAGGGATGATGATAACTACCTTCCTTACATGGTCAGTTGTGAGTTACATGAACTACTACATACAAGGAATTAACATAGTCCCTGGAATGCAATACCAGTTCCTATTACAGTTCCTGTTGCTTTCAACGGGAAGCCCCTACTTTATCCATCTAAAATCTTCATTGTCAGAACAAACTAAAACTCTTGATTCCCACCTATTCTAATTGTCTCGTGGTATTTGCAGCCACTTCCTGTTTTCGGGTGGATTTCTATCATTGCCCACTATTCCCACAGAATACTATTTTCTTCTGGTTGTTCATGGTCCTTGTATTCCAAGTAGTTATCTCATGTGTATTTAAATTTATTTCAGTAATTTAGGGTGTTACAAAATAACTATTCGCTTACCTCTTCTCTATAGTACCTCCTTCATTAAGAGCACAATTCCATAATTGAAAGATCCCTTGTTTATTATTCTGATGACAGAAAAATAATGGGAAATAGTTTAGTAGCTGCATATATTTTTAAAATACAATATTTTAAGGGTATGATGAATCAAATCCCACCTGTGTACTTTTTTGAGTATGTGCCGACAAATTAGGTTCTGGCGTCAGCTGCTCCACTGGAATTTCCAAATAGGTCTATAAGGCAGCAGAAGACTTTTAAACATAATGTATCTCTGTTCCCTGTTCTTGTTCTAACAATGTATAGCTCTTGTTCTAATCAAGGAATACATGGTAAAATTGAATGATATTTTGTTTATATATAAAGAAATCTTTTGTTTTTACTGATTTCAGCAAAAATTAGTATAACCTATTTATTACAAATACCAACCAAACTGTTAATAAGACTTGAATATCATTAAGATTGTCTATTTTGCAGTTAAATGTTTTATGTTCTGATCAAAAAGGATAAACAAAAAGATTAATTTTCCACTACTTCAGAACAAGATATTGGTCATTTCAACTACTTCAAGACTTTTTGTTTTTGTTACTGAGACAGGGTCTCCTTCTGTCACCCAGGCTGGAGTACAGGGGCACAATCTTGGCTCACTGAAACCTCCATTTCCTGGGCTCAAGCGATCCTCCTGCTGAGCTCAGCCTCTCGAGTAGCTGGGACTACAGACATGTGCCACCACGCCCGGCTAATTTTTTTTTTTTGGTAGAGATGGGGTTTCACCATATTGCCCAGGCTGGTCTCAAACTCCTGACCTCAAGTGATCCACTTGCCTCAGCCTCCCAAAGTGCTGGGATTACAGACGTGAGCCACTGCACCCAGCCTGCTTCAAGACATTTTAAAGAACAGGACTACTTCCTTTTTGACAATAACTAAAAAACACTGTACTCAATTTTCATTTATAGCATTGTTATACTGAAAAATACTTAATATGACAGAATATTAATGTAATAACCAATTTGAAACTCTGTAAAATATTTGACTTTGACTTGTGTGAAGAACTCTACAGAAAAGAAATTTACAGTTTAACTTTCAGGAAGGAAATTTTTTTTTAAAGAACATACTTATAATTTTAAAATAGTATGTTTTATGAATACTTTAAAACCAAACATTTATCCTTACCTTGTTAATTTTGCCTGAAATGTGTATAAAAAATGACAATTAATAGTTACATAAAACTGATTATATTCAAAACAAACCCCCTTTTAATATGAGTGATTCTTTCAGTATAAGTATACATATCTACGATTTCTTACCACCTGCTGCTCTATCCCTTCCAGCTGGGAGGATTTTAGTTTCAGGAACAGGTACTTCTGAATCCAAATTCCAGTGAGGTAAGTTCTAAAACAATATTTGTTTTAGGATAAACTTAACATTAAGAAAACATAAAAATCTCAGTAATTTCACACGTTCTTTGGGTAAAGTATGACAAAAGGCACAGAGCTTCATGACTCTCACCCCTCATTATAGAGAACTTCTCAGCATCTTTGAGGAGAAAGCAATTTTCTCTTAACCAAGCCCTTATCAGCTTGATAACACCTATTGTTGAGGAATTAGAAAGGGTTTTACAATAATTTGTGGTTTCATTCACATTTTGTTAAAAATAATAACACACAGGTTTTCAAAATTGATTTTTAAAATGGAATAAAATGTCCTGTTCAGTGTGTCTCTGGAACACAATCATGCATTAATCAAACTTTCTATATCTGAGTATCAGATCTAAAAGCCTATACAAAGCTGGGTCTGGTGGCTCATGCCTGTAATCCCAGCACTTTGGGAGGCCGGGGCAGGTCAGGATCACCTGAGGTCTGGAGTTCAAGACACCAACATGGTGAAACCCTGTCTCCAATAAAAATACAAAAATTAGCCAGGTGTGGTGGCACACACCTGTAATCCCAGCTATTTGGGAGGCTGAGGCAGGAGAATCGCTTGAACCCAGGAGGTGGAGGTTGCGGTGAGCTGCAATCACACCACTGCCCTCCGGCCTGGGCCATAGAGTGAGACTCTGTCTCAAAATAAATAAATAAATAAATAAATAAATAAATAAATAAATAAATAAATTTAAAAAATGAAAGCATATAAAAATCTTTCCATCAACCACAGGAGGTCTGTAACCCTCACATTATATTCCACACTAACCAGCCCACTACTCATTCTGACTTCCAGATGTGGAGAAACACTTAGGAAATATTCAAAAGAAAGCCAAAAATCAAAAGGGAAATGTACTAATAACAACTGAGTATTTATGTTCCAGACATTGTGCAGAGCGCTGTGGGGGAAAATGTGGGAGGTGTGTAGAAGACTGTAACAATTTATTCTGGAAAACAGAAAGTGAAGAGGTGATTCGTTTATAAGAAAGTAACTTTTTAGGAATGAACCCAATTGTTTCCTGTCTCAAAAAAGCATTGTAAATGAAACTCTAAGCAAATGAAATGTTAGGTATTATTAGATACCATCTCTTCATTAAAGAGGAACAGAGAGAAATAAGCTTCAAAACAGCTGAGGACTTAATTTATCCACAAAGAGATATCTCCTGATCGGAGCGCAGTTGAACATTGGAAGGGAGGCTGCAGATTATCTTTCTCTACAGATTTATGAAAAATACAATACAACTAATACTCTGCTCTCTGACATGATAGGTACAAGGGCTAATCTCTACATGAGAATCATCACCTGGGGAGGAGGTTTTTAAAAATAATTGTTGAGAAAAAAAAATCCTGATTTTACAGAATGAGGGTGAGGGCCGGGCGCGGTGGCTCAAGCCCGTAATCACAGCATTTTGGGAGGCCGAGGCGGGCAGATCACCTCAAGTCAGGAGTTCTAGACCAGCCTAGCCAACATGGTGAAACCCCATCTCTACTAAAAATACAAAAATTAGCCGGGCGTGGTGGCGGGCGCCTGTAATCCCAGCTACTCGGGAGGCTGAGGGGAGAATTGCTTGAACCCGAGAGGCAGAAGTTGCAGTGAGCTGCGATAGTGCCACTGCATTCCAGCCTGGGTGACAGAGTGAGACTCCGTCTCCAAAAAAAGAAAAAAAAAAAAAAAGAATGAGGGTGAGGCCCAGTTATTTGTATTTAAAAGATCCTTTTGTAGTTCACAGCATGATGACTGGGTTTTTCCGTTCATGTGTGAGATGCGCCCCTTCAAACCTTTTCACGATATCTGGTGGATTTTTAAGCTTTTTTCAGCTATATAAATCCTGGTACTCTTGTATGAAATGAACATGTGAAAGAAACATCCTCAGTTGATGAAACTGTGTTGTTGCAATTATAAAATAAAATGACTGTAACCAGGCCAGGCATGGGTAGCTCACACCTGTAATCCCAGCACTTTGGGCAGCCAAGGCGGGTGGATCACTTGAGGTCAGGGGTTCCAGACCAGCCTGGCCAACATGTCTACTGAAAATACAAAAACTAGCCAGCGTGGTGGCACATGCGTGTAGTCCCAGCTACTCGGGAGGCCGAGGCAGGAGAATCGCTTGAACCTGGGAGATGGAGGCTGCAGTGAGCCGGGATCGCGCCATAGCACTGCAGCCTGGGAGACACAGGAAGACTGTCTTGTCTCCAAAACAAACAAAAAGAGCCAAAAACAACAAAGAAAATTAACATAACCAAACTGATCAACTGGTAAAGAAGGCTCATTAACTGAACATGAAGTCTGACAGTGTGCAAATTTCGTAAGAGTTGGGACTTGATTATGCTTTGTGATATCCCACCTGCCTTACCAATATTTTTCACACAGGGCGTGTCTGTGAAAACAAAGGAAGTGAGCACTGCCTGGTGGATAACAAGGTAGCACCTTTAATGAAGCCAAAGTGCAACTTGAAATGTTTGGCATTTGGAGAAGAGCTGGCTAATTTTTCCTTTGTTAAAAGAAAGAGAAAATTTCCATTTGCCGTTCCAAACGTGCCAAAAGGAAAACACAGGATAAACTGCCCACGACGCAAAAGCAGCAAGGGCATCACTGCAAGAAAACTCCAAGGGAGTTGTCTTAGCAACAGGAGCCGCTGCCCAAACACTCAAGTTCAACAGCGCCTGCCATACCTCCTGAGAGATGTCTGACATACGTAGGCTGTTACCACAGGTCTCATTTCTTCTCCCCATTTTGTTGTAGCTGCTGCTCTGTTTCCTTAAAATCCTATACAGATTGTGGGACAGGCACATGTATGAGTAAGGGTCAACATTTATAAAAAAGAAAAAGTGTGAGTTTTGATTTCCCATCTAAAGGAGGTAAGAGAATGCTTAGAAAGCAGAAGAGGGGGGCTAGATGAGCAGGGCGAGGGTGACAGTACGAAACCAACCAGAAACAAGGGGCAAGCCTGACTCAAAAGGAGCACAGACAACAGCAAACTAGCAGATCTCAGAACAGAAGATGAGGAAATCCAGATCAGAGGTGAGAAAGCAAACACCAGCTAAGAAGATGAAATACAAATTGGAACAAACTATGGTGAATTATCCAGAACTTAGAAAACAGGGGCACAAAGTCTCCTTTTAATCATTCAAAACCATTGCTCCATTTGAAAGCAGGATTGAACCCTTACAACTAGGCCAGGCAAGCACCTCGTGCATATTTCGGAGACACCAAATCGCCCCCAGGACCAAACAATATTTTCCACATCAATCAGTCAAGGTACCTAAAACGTTTTAACCCACTGCCCTTTAAGGTAAAAGAATTAGAGAACTCTAAGGTAACAAGCAAAAACAGTCACTGGATTAAGGTATGGCTATCTGGAAAGAATAACTTTTTCTTTTTTTTTTTTTTTGAGACAGAGTCTCGCTTTGTTGCCCAGGCTGGAGTGCAGTGGCGCGATCTCGGCTCACTGCAACCTCCGCCTCCCAGGTTCAAGCGACCATGTTGGCCAGGCTGGTCTTGAACTCCTGACCTCGTGATACACCCGCCTCAGCCTCCCAAAGTGCTGGGATTACAGGCGTGCTGCGTCTGGCCAAGAATTACAAATTAAAGCCACCGCACTAATCGGTCTATCTGCTAATCGTTTACAATTGATTGTCTCCTACAGAAAAGTGTAGGAAGAAATGGGAGATTTAGTTTAGGGAGGTTTCCAGCCAACGCCGGTGTTGGTCCACCGGGTGTGTGCACGCCAGACACTGGGTTTCAATGCAGGAGGAAGGCGTGGCTGAGCAGGTGGCGCTGCCTGGGGCCACCGGGGGTGTGTCAAGGAGGAGGGCATCCAGTTCCTGGACAAGGCCACCGCACCGGAGGGACGGCCCTGGGGACAAAGGACGCCTTGAGTACTGCGAGGGGGGGACAGGAGCTTTAGGGGCTGGAGTGCGTGAAGGCGCGTGTCTCAGGGAGCTGCGAGGCCCCCGGGAAGAGGAATCGCCTTTTCCTTCTGAGCTGTGGCCGGACTGGGTGGGGAGCCCAGTTCCAGGGGTAGCAGGAGGGGGTGCGGGATTCCCCGGTGCCGGGGCTCTTACCCCACCTCGCCGAAGGCCCCAGTGTCCTCCCCGGCGTTCTCTCCTGGTGCGCCGCCCCGAGGCCCCAGCGCCTCCGCGTGCGTGGCTGACGGCTTGGAGGGCGCCCCTCTGCCTCGGCCTTCCTGCAGCGGGGGACAGAGAGGGCGGCGGGCGGCCTGGAGCGCAGCCGGGTCGGCGGTGTAGGGACTGCGAAACCCGCGGGCCGGCGCAGGGGTGGGAGTCGGGCCCAGGGCCCAGGCGGGGCCCAGAGAGACCTGCCGGGGCCGGGGCCGGGGCTGCGGCTCAGCGGGCTTCCCCACCGGCCGGGTCTCCCGGCAACTACCAGCGAGCGGGGGCGCCCCGGGAGGCCTCGCGTTCCACCAGGTCCACCGGTATTCGCGGGCCGCGGGGTCGCCGGCGGCTGCCAGGCGCAGAGCCTCTCGGGGGTCACCCGGCTGCCGAGCCCGCGGGATGCACGCGGCCGCCAGGGGAGGACGACAAGCCTCAGGCCCTGCCCCTGCGCCCCCCACGGCCCCCTCCGGGGCTGCGCAGCCCACTCGGCCATCCTGGCCTGGAGAGGCCGCCCCGCGCCTCGCGGGAAAGCCTGAGCCTCCCAGGCCTTCTCGGGCCTTCTCTGACTTTCCCCTCAGCGTCCTGGACCTTCTGGGGCCTTCCTGGGCCTCCTCGGGCTTCCTTGACCCTCCCCGGGCCTTTCCGGAGACCTCCAGGCCCTTCCCTGGGCCTTTCCAGGCTGAACTCTCTGCAAGATGGCCAGTAGGCCTCTGGGACCCGGGGCCTGGCCCACCCCCTCAACTCCCACCGCCTGCTCACATCAAGCCAGGAGCACCGCCCCGTACGTAGTCCTCCAGACCACGCTAAAATAGAAAAGTTATAGCTATGCTTGTACAATATATTAATTAACATAGAAGAAGAGGCATCCTTGTTGACACCAAGTCCATCCGGTCAGTTTCAGGTCCGTCGTCGGCCTTTCAATAGGAAGAACAAAAGATAATTTTTTTCTTTTTTCATGTAGAGGATACATTTAAATCACAGAGCCCAATTTTGTACCCCTAAGTGCGTATCTCTTATTACAGCTCCATGAAATAAGTGGAGGGGTGGGGGAAGAATATCTGTATATCTAGTTAGATGTATCTACATAGCTATCTCCCCCACCTTTTGATATAGAGAAAAATTTAAAACAAAATTAATTCTATATGTAAGTACAGCAAATGAATACTAAATATCATATGGGGGGACGACATCACGGCCATGCCCTTTTGAGAATCTCCCCATAAAAATGTGCTTATATACCACATGTTGAACACAATTTCAAGGGTTTCTCAGGTTCTTTGATCCCTGACTCCTGACTCTTTCCTCTGCATTCCCATTTTCTCCTCAGAAAGACCTTCCCTTTAAAGAAACCCTTCCCACCTACCACCTGCCTTACTCTACCTCATGACACCCTGTTTTTAGTTTCTTCTTTGTACTCCTCAGAATGTTGCTGTTTACTAGTTTGTTTTTGTATTGCCTGTCTCTCCCCCGTAGAATATCAGACTCCATGTGGGCAGGGGCCTTGCCTGTCTAGTTCATTTCTACATCCCCAACCCTTTAAAACTGTGCTAGGCACATAGTAGAAGCACAGTCGTAGAAGCACAATCGATGTAAGTGAATGGACAAGACTTGCGCAGGCCTCATTCCTTGCAGGCTCCCCTTCTAGGCCCTCTCCTCCTTCGGCTGTTTTCCATACTGCTGCTCTAACATACAGACCTGCTCAACTGCCTCCTAATGCCTGAAGAAGGAAACCCAAATTCTGCAGCCATCCTTTAGGTATCTGCTCATCATCTTCCCAGCGCCCACTTCATGTCAAGCACATCGGACATTTTACAATTTTCCTAAACACTCTCCTCCAGGGCATATATCGTTGTTACCCTTCCTGTAATAGTACCTCCTTTTTATCTCCTTTTTTTTTTTAAGCTGGCTAAATTCTAGTCATACGGTTCAAACTCACAAGTCGTTTTTCCTAATTGTTCAGGAAGAGTAAATTGCTAGAAAACATACAGAAAAAAAAAGAAAAAAGAAAAAGAAAACAAAAGTAAGTCGCTATCTCCTCCAAGATCCCTACTTGGTTATATTATAATGATTTATTTACAGTCCCTTAGTTACATTATAATTATTCATTTACAATATCTCAATCACTTTCTTTTCAACATCTTGAAGGTGATATCTGCCCATATTCTATCTAACAGAGTGCCTGGCATGTAGTAGGTAAGGCACTCAATAAATGTTTGAATTGATTTAATTATTGCAAAAATAGTATTCTCTGAAATGTATGGTGTGGTGACTATATGCCCGGCATAGTGCTGAATATTTTATATGGATTAACCAATGTATATGCCTAATAATCCAATGAAGCAAGTACCACTAGTTATACCTATTTTATTTTCTTTCTTTCTTCTTTCTTTTTTGTAAGACAGAGTCTTGCTGTCACCCAGGCTGGAGTGCAATATGTGATCTCGGCTCATGGCAACCTCTGCCTCCCAGGTTCAAGCAATTCTCCTGCCTCAGCCTCCCTAGTTCCCTAGTAGCTGGGATTACAGGCACCTGCCACCATGCCCGGCTAATTTTTTGTATTTTTAGTAGAGAGGGGTTTCGCCATATTGGCCAGGCTGGTCTCGAACTCCTGACCTCAGGTGGTCTGCCAGGCTCAGCCTCCCAAAGTGCTGGGATTACAGGCATGAGCCACTGAGCCCAGCCTAGTTATTCCTATTTTATAACTGAGTAACCTGAGCCTTAGATGTATTATGTAATGTTTCCCAATTTACAATTACTAGAAAAATTGCGAATAGGGGTAAATATTGGGGTTCATGTATTTCCAGCTATTGCTTTCTACAAATATATCTAGCTGGGAAATGTTCCCCATTCTTGAGACAGAAATTATGTGTGTGTGTGTGTGAATTCCACATATCTGGCTTACACATTTCCCATCTTCCTTGCTTTATGTTTCTGTTCATGCCTTTTTTCTGTTATTTCAGAACTCAAACTGATTCCTGATCCTTAGAGTCCTTCTGAGATTTGTCATCCATAAATGCATCCTCTAAGATTCTTTCTTTTCCTTAACAGAACTTACTCTTAAAAACATTCCTTTCATATTATCACCCCCACTCCACTGGTCTTCCTTTCTCTGGAGACTTTTGAATGCTTTGACATCAGCATCAAAATCATGGCTGGCCCTTCCCTCATTGCTAAATGTGCACAGCCGTGGTGGTGTGAAATATGAAAGCAGCAACTTGGAAATGGTGCCCTCTCCAAACCCTTGGGTGTGGTCTGGCTCTGGCCCAGAGTAGGGGGTTGGACAGTGGGTCATTTTCTACAGCAGCTCAGACCCAGCTTAACATCAATCCCAAGGCCAAGAAAATGCACCTTCTTTCTGTTGGGGCTCAGAAAACAGTTCCCCAAAATGAAGCCTTAGGAAATAACCTCAGAAGCAAAAGTTTTTCTCTGACCTTTTTCTGCCCTCCTGTCTCTCAGTCCTACTCTCCCTCCAAGGCTAGCCTGAGAAACTAGAATCCCTCTTTTCCAATGCAAGTTACAGAAATCAGAATGCTTTTTTGCCAAAGCCAGCCATGAAACCTAAAAATATTACTCTAATTTTCCCTTTGCCTTTCTGTGTAAAAACTGGCCATGAGGAAATTATCTGACCTAGCTTGTTTGACTGTAGGTCATAAGACCCCCATTCCAGAGAGTGCCCTGTCCCATACCCAGAAGGAAGGAATACTGCTCAGAGAGGCCAAGAAGAATCTAGAAAGACAGGCCTTGCTGGGTTCCCCCGCTCAGGCTATTAGCATTAGATCAAACCTTTTTTGTCCAATCGTATTTTACACAGCTGTCCATACTTTGTTGAACCTAAGCATAAAACTGGAAACTCTCCCCTCTATTTCTGAGTTTTCATTCTGTACACTCCCATGTATAAACACATGCTAAATAAATCTGTCTGCCTTTTCCCCAATTACTCTGCCTTTTGCAAGTTGATTTTTCAGCAAATCTTCAGGGGGCCAAACCCTTGGCCCCTGCACTTCCAGCCATCTCCTGGCCATTCCCAGGATTCAGATTTTAGTGGTAGCCTCAGCTTCCCTTACTTTAAATCTGCACCTCTTTAGCTGATCCTGAGTGAAACCATTCTTTCATAAACACAATAGGATGAGGCAGATGCGCTCTATCTCAGGCATTTAGCAAACTCTTGCGTTAATTACAAGCGAGGCAGGCTAACGAGACAAAGGCAAGCCTTGGGTCAGTCACTTAGCAGTCCAGTAAGCACAGCTTGCTGCCCACCTCAGTTTCTCCTCCTATAACAAAGGCGATGACATTGACTACCACGTAACTACTTCGGAAAGCACCTTGAGATAACATTGCTTTTCATTGTCCTGAATTACGCAAAGATATGTCAGTAGCAACATTACTTAGATTCTAATTATTCTGGAGGGAAAAGGCTTCGATTTCAGTCTACCTCCTTCAGTATCTTTCACCTTTGGATATTACCCATGCATTTGTCCTCATCTTCCTTTGCTGTTCCCTTTAGAGATGCCAAGGTCATGGCTGGTCATGTACAGCAGCGTCTTTTTTTTTTTTTTTTTTCCTTTTTGAGACAGAGTCCCACTCTGTTGCCCAGGGTGGAGTGCAATGGCGCAATCTCAGCTCACTGCAACCTCCGCCTCCCGGGTTCAAGTAATTCTCCTGTCTCAGCCTCCCAAGTTGCTGGGACTACAGGCGCATGCCACCACGCCTGGCTAATTTTTTTATATTTATGGTAGAGACGGGGTTTCACCATATTGGTCAGGCTGGTCTCAAACTCCTGACCTCAGGTGGTCCACCCGTGTCGGCCTCTCAAAGTGCTAGGATGACAGCTGTGAGCCACTGTGCCCAGCCTACAGCAGAATCTTGTTCAATATATTATGTAACATTTTCTGAAAGTTAGGACAATAGTTTCTAATTAATAATATGCAGTTTTGTTCTCAAATAAGATGCTAAGTCAATGGGAAACATTCCATTTCAATTATGAGCAATTTGTGTTTAGCATACAGTTTAGCAATCTAGTCTTTTTTTTGTTTTTGCTTTTTGAGCAACTGCTTTGTCTTTCAGTAGTGGCTAATTTATCCTGATTTAGAACTCAATTCTATGAGCATTCATCTTAAATATACCTTCTTGTGTTTGTATAATTCCTTTTTAAGAAATATCTATGCAAATATTTCTAATTTGAAGTTTTAAAAATTAACCTTTACCACTCTGCTCCCATAGCAATGTACTATTTGGGAGGCCAGTGTTTTGTTGCAAATAGTTAAGAAATATTGTTTAAAAACTATTCCTAGAACGTATGATAGTGATGTATATGAACATATTTCCAAAAGGAAGCAAAATAAACACATCAATCACTGAATTTCACATCTGCATATGTTGCAGCTAGTGCTTCTGAATAAATTCTCAATCATATATTTTCTCCTTTGTTTTGATTTAAGACTTGATTTCTGCAATTTGAATTGCTTCATAAGCCTTTCTATTTTTCAGATACCTATACTCTGTAACTCTATTTTCCTAGCCTTATATCACAAATTCACTTTAAATTTTGGTTAACGTTTCAGTGTCAGAACTTACTTTCTGGTGCCAGGAAAGGTGTAACTTGAAGTCCCTTTCTGGTCGTCAGACCCCTCCCACCTCATTTGTTGTGAACGGAACACTTTCTTTAGAATGCTTTCCTTAAAAAACTTGGAGATAATCTTCTCTCTTTGAACATTACCGAACACCTTGCCTTCTGGAAGCCAGCTGATCTTGTCACACCCACCATGGCAGGGGGGAAGAAGAAGGTATTCAGGAGACACAGAAACCCTCTTAGGAACAGAAAAAGGAATTGCGTTTACCTGAAAGTCATGAATAAAAGATCAGCCTAACTAGAAAAACAACCCAGAGGCATGCAGCTGCTGCGCCGCGGGACCAATTTCGTTAATAACACACTGCTAGCACCTCTGTGGGCTGCTGGCCCGGCATAGCAGCTCTCATCACAACAACAAAAGACTTGGGAGAAAATAATAATATGTTAAAAGTCCAGCTTTGAAAAGGTAAATATATTAGCCACTGAATAATAGAATTGGAAGAGGAATACAAAACAAAATACAAAATGAAAGCATTTGTTCCATCCAGGAATATTAGTACCATGGGCTGAGGCCTGGTTGGCGCAGATCAAGATCACACAGCTGATTAGCAGCAGAATATTTGCCAGGCGTCATTCATGACACGTCTCTCCTAAACAGTGTTCTTTAATCACACCGTAATTAGAGAAAATGAATGAGATTGATTCCTAGAAGTGTTATTCATTGTAAATATATATATGTATAAAAAATATATATCCATCTGATAGTTTATTTAAAAACAACATTTAATAATTGTGACCTACTTCAGATTTCAACCAAGGTCAGCATGCATCAGATAACTATAAACATTCCATCAGTTGCAATGGAATAGTCATTGAGAGCATCGACTAAGAACGTATGAGTCAATTTACATGAAGTGTAAAGAATTACATTTTAGTAGATCACTTCCTTGGCATGTTGAATTACTTAAAACATGGTTTGTTGTTGGCTATTTATATAAATGAAGGTTTAGAGGAATGCACTCAACTTTGCTTGGAAGAAAGAAGCCGGGGGGATATGTCTTCCGGCTGCCAGAATATTCTACCCCACTTCTCCCCACCAAAAACACCTGTAAAATCATGAGAATCACATTGAATTCAACTGGTTCTTGTTAGTTATATAACATATTTTAAATATGTACTTGCATTTAAAGTATTTTTTTTTTAAGTTCGACTTTTTGAGTTTGCAAGTTGAAAGTTAAGAGATGGAATAGGCCAGACGTAGTGGCTTGTGCCTGTAATCACAGCACTCTGGGAGGCTGAGGCAAGAGGATTGCTTGAGGTCAGGAGTTTGAGACCAGCCAGGGCAACATAGAGAGACCCTATCTCTACAAAATAAAAATAACAAAAATTAGCTGGGCGTAGTGGTGCACACCTATAGACTCAGCTACTTGTGAGGCTGAGGTGGGAGGATTGCTTGAGCCCAGTAGGTCGAGGCTACAGTGAGCTGTGACCACACCACTGCACTGCAGCATGGCCACAGAGGGCAAAATTTGGTCTCAAAAAGAAAGAGAAAGAAAGGGAAGGGAGGGAAGGGGGAGGAGACGGGAGGGGAAGGGAAAAAAGAAAGAAAAGAAAGCCGGGTGAGGTGGCTCAGGCCTATAACCCAGCACTTTGGGAGGCCAAGGTGGGCGGCTCACCTGAGGTCGGGAGTTCAAGACCAGCCTGACCAACATGGAGAAACTCCATCTCTACTAAAAATACAAAATTAGCTGGGCGTGGTGGCGCATGCCTGTAATCCCAGCTACTCGTGAGGCCGATGCAGGAGAATTGCTTGAACCTGGGAGGCAGAGGTTGCGGTGAGCCGAGATCACGCCATTACACTCCTGCCTGGGCAATAAGAGCAAAACTCCATCTCAAAAAAAAAAAAAAAAAACACATCTATAGATCTATATGTATGCATATACGAATGGAATTTTATATTTGCCGCTCTGGCCACTAATGTGTCATATGGTATAATAATGATGCTTTAATAGTCTTGGCCAAATGTTTTTAAGGTTGGTGAAAAGCTGGTCCAAGCTCCCAGATTTGCCATAGCATGCTAGGCTCACACGCCTTCTCTGCTTCTCACCAGCCTGCAGTGTGCTTCTCCAGCTGGTTCATGAAGAGTAGAACAATTATGGGGAACCTGGCTCCTGGTAAAGCATGCTGAAATCTAAAGGTAGCTGTAACAAACTCTATTATTTGCATTTTTGTTCTAAATCTGATAGTAGTTCTTAGCAGCTTCTATCTTGCGCTGGGCTGTGCTATCAGGTGTGGTGATTTAAGATTATTTAATACTTCTATTGTTCTGTGCATTTTGGTCTACAATGAAGAATGGCTTCTTACCGGGAAAGCTCCAGTTGAGCATTTGTTTACTTTGTTTTCTTGGTATTAGTTTGGATAAGAACATAAGAAGCAGTTTGGCTTCTTACCTGTGTTAATCTGGGCATTTGCTCAGTTTTGGACGATGAAGCTCTTTCCTCGGTTATGCTGAGGACTGCACTGATGTAACCACTCTTTCTTGGGGCCTGGTAGGTCTGTGGAGCCTTAATTAGGTACATACTGGGAGCAAGGCTTCTACAAAGTACCAAATGGGAAAATATCACCGGATATGCGTGCCCCCACTTTCCTCTCTTCCTTTTAGCAAAGCTCTCAGTTTTCCCCAGAAATGGTCCATGTCCAGACACAAGACTGGAGTTTCTGCCAAAAATCCCTGAATGGCTTGGCAGGATATTTTCAATGGGCTGGTTTTCTCTGCTTTGAAAACGTAGGATGAGCACTCAGGGTTCCGGACCAATGCCTGGGCCATTGTGACTCTCGGAATGCCAGGCAGTAAGAGATCTCAAAGCATCTTTGAGATGGAGGAAAGCTTGCCAGGAGAACAACTGCACATCCCTCCACTCCTCATGTTCTCAGTTTGTTCTTCTCTGTGATGCAACCGGTATCATGAGAACAGCCAGCAGCAGCTCCAGCATGATGAAATTTTCACTCCTTGACGAGTGTAAGAAGCCGAAAAACTATGCCCAGCCAGAAGTTTTGTGTCACACGTTTGACATGCTGTCTAACATCCACAAGCTGCTTCCTAATCACCTAATGGAGACGCTTTCTTCATACAGGAGTGAAGAGGACAAGAAAAAATGTATGTGGGTGGAGGGTGGGCATGAGTTCTTTTCAGTAAGCATACACTTTATCTTGATACAAACTGCCTCTACTTTAAGCCGTAAGCAAGAACTTTTACTCTTTATTTTATTTAGTTTCTTTTTATTATTTTTTGAGATGGGGCTCTTGCTTTATCCCCCAGGCTGGAGTGCAGGAGTGCAATAATCATGGCTCACCACAGCTTCAAACTCCTGGGCTCATGTGATCCTCCACCTCGACCTCCCCAGTAGCTGGGACTACAGGTGCATTGCCACCACAATGTCTAATTTTTAAATTTTTGTAGAGATGCCCCCAGCCCCCCACACCGCCATGTTGCCCGGGCTGGTCTCAAACTCCCAAGCTCAAGTGATCCGCCTGCCTTTGCCTTCAAAGTGCTGGAATTCAAGGGGGGATCCCCTGCACCCGGCCAGAACTTGTTCTTTACATTGTTGGGGTGATTGGTCCTCTAGACACATGTCCCCATCCATGGGCTTCCGAGCTTATTCCTGAATGTACTCACGTGCTGATTATCCATTGCTTCTTCATGTTCCTTTTTCATAGTCTTTTGTAAGCCAAGTTAGGCCTGACCCTCTTCTTTTTTTTTTTTTTTTTTTGAGACAGTCTGTCTCTGTCACACAGGCTGGAGTGCAGTGGCGCAATCTCGGCTTACTGCAAGCTCTGCTTCCTGGGTTCATGCCGTTCTCCTGCCTCAGGCACCTGAGTAGCTGGGACTACAGCTAGTTTTTTTTTTTTTTTTTTTTTGTATATTTAGTAGAGACGGGTTTTCACTGTGTTAGCCAGGATGGTCTCGATCTCCTGACCTCGTGATCTGCCTGCCTCAGCCTCCCAAAGTGCTGGGATTACAGGCGTGAGCCACTGCGCACGGCCAGGCCTGACCCTCTTCTTTAGCAAAGCTTACCTGTGGGAAAATGGAAAGGGTACTGAGAGGGAAATGCTGCTCGATTTACAATTTAAGCTTTATATTTGATTTTAAGATTAGGGAGAGAACTTCCAAGTGGAAAGAGGGCAGGCTTTGAACTTTGTTCCTTTGCTCTGTTTCCTGCTAGTCCTTCCTCCTATGGCCATGATTGCACCACGAAGAAGCTGGATATTCTCTTTTCTCCTGGGGATTATAAGCAACCTGTACTTTGTGCAGTTTGGAGTGGCCTGCCACTCCTGAAATTCTGTCAGGGTCATTGATAATGGGGCCAATTTGCAGCATTGGGTGGAGTCTGCTTCCTAAATTGCTCCTGCTTAAGTGGAAGACAAAGGTAGAGGCAGCCACCTGTGCTCATGAACTTAGAAAACAAAATAGCAGCTGCCACAGAGATTAAGATGCAATTCCGAAGCCAGGAGCCGTAGCTCACACCTGTAATCCCAGCACTATGGCAGGCCAAGATGGGCAGATCACCTGAGATGAGGAGTTCAACACCAGCCTGGCCAACATGGTGAAACCCCATCTCAATTAAAAATACAAAAAGCAGTCGTACGTGGTGATGGGTGCCTGTAATCGCAACTACTCGGGAGGCTGAGGCAGGAGAATTGCTTGAACCTTGGAAGTGGAGGTTGCAGTGAGCCGAGATCGTGCCATTGCACTCCAGCCTGGGCGACAAGAGCGAGACTCCGCTCAAAAAAAAAAAAAAACAAAAATGACAAATACTATAGACTGGGTAGCTTATAAACAGAAAAATGTATTTCTCATAGTTCTGGTGGCTGGGAAGTCTAAAATCAAGGCAGATACCATGTTTGGAGACAACTTTCTGGTTCATAGATGGCACCTTCTTGCTGCGTCTTCATGTAGTGGAAGGGGTTGGGGTGGGTATCTCTCTCAGGCCTAGTTTATAAGGCACCGCCCCCATGACCTGATCACCTCTTAAAGGCCTACACACCATGTAATACCATCACCTTGGAGGTTAGGATTTAACATATGAATTTTGAGGGGCATGAACATTCAGACCATAGCACTGCCTTCCCCAGCTTTTGTAAGATTCACTTCCATCCTATTTCAACGGAAATTGCATCATCTTTTGACGGAAACCCTCCTGAGATCCTCCTATTCAAGCAGGCGCCAAACGACTACAGCTGACCCTTGAACAGCTCATCTGAACTGTGCAGGTCCACTTATGGTGTGGCAGGAGATTAAAGAAAAATAAAATCAACAAAAAAAAGAAATAAACTTTCCTGGATTAGGCTGACTTTTCCCAAAGGCAGCAACAGGCACAGCCCAGACCCAGAAAAAGTTTTAATAATACTATCTAATGCGCTCTGGAAACTCGCCCAGCACTCCCTCAACCCAGGGAGAAGAAAAACAAATTTTCCTTTGTTTTATGGAATAAGTTTATAGATTCCTGTTCTCTGTAAATAGTAACTTAAAGTAATTCTGTTTTGTCTAAGCAGTAGAGTGAAGGTCATGAGCCTCTAAACAGGCCTGAGTTGTGGCCACCTGGGCGCCATGATGAAGGTTATAGGGTAAGCCCATGCCTAGGCAAAATCTAGATAATAGACATTGGGTTGCTTGGCAACGGTCATGTGTAATCCTGAGTTATGAACCTGTTCCAGCTTAATTAACTGTCTTTATCCTGCCTCTGTATCCCTGCTTTCACACCACTGTAAGCTTGCTTCAAGCTAGCCCACCCCCTTTTATGAAGTGTAAAAGTCAAGTACTGTCTTTGTTCCGCGCCTAGTCTTTGGACGTTAAATCTGCTGGGTCTAAGTGCACTCGATAATAAAGATATCCTTCTGTATACACCCCAAGGTCTCTCTCTGGTCCTCCTGATCCCGCAACAATAGGTGGATTTTTTTCAATAAATATATTGGAAATTTTTTTGAAGATTTGCCATAATTTGAAAAAATTTGTAGACCAATCATATAGTCCAGAAATAACAAAAAATTAAGAAAAAATTAGGGTGGTGGGCATGGTGGCTCATGCCTGTAATTCCAGCACTTTGGGAGGCTGAGGCGGGTGGATCATTTGAGGTAAGGAGTTCGAGACCAGTCTGACTACCATGGTGAAACCCTCTCTTTACTAAAAACACAAAATTAGGTGGGTGTGGTGGTACACGCCTGTAATCCCAGCTACTTGGGAGGCTGAGGTAGGAGAATTGCTTGAACTTGGGAGGTGGAGTTTGCAGCGAGCTGAGATTGTGTCACTGCACTCCAGCCTGGGCAACAGAGTGAGACTCAAAAAAAAAAAAAAAAAGAGAAAAAGGAATGTCGTGACTGCATAGAATATATGTAGATACTAGTCTACTTTATCATTTACTACCATAAAATGTACTCAAACCTATTAGGAAAAGTTAAAATTTATAAAAACTTACACAAGCACTTACAGACTGTATTTGGTGTCATTCACAGTCAAGGGAAATGTAAATGAAAATAAAGATGCAGTATTAGGCCAGGTGCAGTGGTTCATGCCTGTAATCCCAGCACTTTGGGAGTCCAAGGGGGTAGATCACCTGAGGGCAGTAGTTCAAGACCAGCCTGGCCAACATGTTGAAACCCAGTCTCTACTAAAAATACAAAAAGTAGCCAGGCATGGTGGTTGACACCCATAATCCCAGCTACTCAGGAGGCTGAGGCAGGAGACTCTCTCGAACACGGGAGGCAGATACTGCAGTGAGCTGAGATCATGCCATTGTACTCTAGCTTGGGCAACAAGAGCAAAACTCCACCTCAAAAAAAAGAAAAAAAAAAGATGCAGTATTAAATCCTAACTGTAGAAAAGTAACTGTAGCAATACCGTAGTGCTGTAGTAATTTCATAGCCACCTCCCGTTGCTCTTGCTGTGAGCTCAAGTGGTGTGAATAGCCACTTAAAATGCCATGTGATGTCAGTCATCTCTGTGTGAGCAACTCATCTCTCTAGTAAATTACATATCACAGTAAAGTGATTTCACAGTTCTCATGCATTTTTTTGTGTTTAGTGCAATACCATAAAACTTGAATAACACCATGGGACCCACACAGAGTTCCATTAGTGATGCTGGAAGTACCCCCAAGAAGCAGCAAAAAGTCAGGATGTTGTAAGAAAAAGTTGAGTTGCTTGATATGTACTGTATATTGAATAGTTGCCTGCCACTTCAGACAGACAATTTTTCTTGTAAACAGATGGTGTAAGCTTGTAGTATTGATAAATACAGTGGTGTCAATGTATTTCTTTTCCTTATTATTTTCTTTTTTTTTTTTTTTTTTTTTTTTTTTTGAGACAGAGTCTTGCTGTGTCTCCCAGGCTGGAGTGCAGTGGTGCTATCTTGACTCACTGCAACCTCCACCTCCCGATTTCAAGTGATTCTCTGTCTCAGCCTCCCAAGTAGCTGGGATTACAGGCACCCGCTACCATGCCCGGCTAATTTTTGTATTTTTAGTAGAGATGGGGTTTCACCATGTTGGTCAGGCTGGTCTTGAACTCCTGACCTCAAGCAATCCACCCGCCTCGGCCTCCCAAAGTGCTGGGATTACAGGCATGAGCCATTGCGCCTGGCCATGATTTTCTTAATAACATTTTTTTGCTTACTTTAAGAGTGTGATGTATAATGCATATAACATTTACAATATGTGTTAATCAACTGTTTATGTTAACAGTAAGGCTTCTGGTCAACAGTAGGCTATTAGTAAAAGTTTTGAGTGAATCAAAAGTCAAAAAAGTAGCTGGATGTGGTGGCATGGTACAGGTGCTAGACTACCACGCTCAAAGACTCGGAAGGCTGTGGCAGGAGGATCGCTTGAGTCCAGGAGTTCGAGACCAGCCCGGGCAACATAGCAAGACTTTTTTTTTTTTTTTTGATGGAGTTTTGCTCTTGTTGCCCAGGCTGGAGTGCAATGGCGCAATCTCGGCTCACTGCAACCTCCACCTCCCGCGTTCAAGCAATTCTCTGTCTCAGCCTCCCGAGTGGCTGGGATTACAGGCATGTGCCACCACTCTCAGCTAATTTTTGTATTTTTAGTAAAGACGGGGTTTCACCATGTAGGCCAAATGGTCTCAATCTCTTGACCTTGTGATCCACCCGCCTCGGCCTCCCAAAGTGCTGGGATTACAGGCGTGAGCCACCGAGTCCAGCCAAGACTCTTTAACAAAAGAAACTTATATGCTTATTTTCAACTGGGCAGGGGTCAGAGCCCCTAACCTCCACGTTATTCAAGGGTCAACTGTATTTTCTAAGGGGTTTACATTTTTATTTATTTATTTATTTAGTTAGTTAGTTAGTTAGTTAGTTTCTTTAGTTTTGAAACAGAGTCTCACTCTGTTGCCCAGGCTGGAGTGCAGTGGTGTGATCTCGGCTGACTGCAACTTCTGCCTCCGGGGTTCAAGCGATTCTCCTGCCTCAGCCTCCCGAGTAGCTGGGATTATAGGCATGTGCCACCACACCTGGCTAATTTTTGAATTTTAGTAGAGACAGGGTTTTGCCATGTTGGCCAGGTTGGTCTCAAACTCCTGACCTCAAGTGATCCACCCACCTCGGCTTCCCAAAGTGCTGGGATTCCAGGCACGAGCCACCAAGCCTGGCTGGGGTTTACATTTAGCTCGTAGAAAATCTGTGCCCTTGCTCCCCATACCTTCACCCGGTTAATGAAAGCACAGTTGGCTTCCAACACTGCCCTCTTTTCTCTGTGACCACAGGCAGCTGTGATCCCAGCCATTCACCACTATGTTTCCAGGTGTTATGGGCTCAACAAAATACATAGATGTCCCTCGACAACATATATTGTCTCTCAACAAGACACATTGAAGTCCTAACTCCCAGCAGCCCAGAATGTGACTAGATTTGGAAATAGGGTCTTTACAGGGTGCAGAAGTAATTAGACTTAGATGAGGTCATAATAAGTATAGAGAGGGTTCTTCATCCAGTATGACCGGTGTCCTTATAAGAAGAAAGAGACATCTCTTGTGACAGTAGAGACAGAGATGGGCGTGATACATCCACAGTCCAGGAATACCAAGGATTGCAGGCAAACTCCAGAAACTAGGAAGAGACAAAGACAGATTCTCCCCTCAAGGCTTCAGCATGGCCTTGCTGCCACCTTGATTTCTGACTTCCAGCCTCCTGAATTGTGAAACAATGAATTTGTTGTTTTAAGCGAACCCCTTTGTGGTACTGTTAGGACAGCCCTAGGAGACTGACGCACCAGTGTTAGGAGACATAGTCCCATTCCCCAGGTACTTCTCTAAAGTCCCCTTAAAGCCAGGAGGGGGAAGGGGAATGACATAGTACTCAGCACTGCCCCAACTCTGTGCCTAAAGAAATCCTCAAGTGCCTTAAGGAATCCTGAACGAATGCTCCGTTTTTTCACATATGGATAGATATCTTGTGCATGAATAGGTGTCTGGCACCTACTCAAGTTTTCGCAGACTTTAGGGCCTTGGAGAAAACAGACCCAACAGAAAAAGGTATATTTTCACATCCTGTTACATGTACATGTCCTTCAACTTAGCAATTCTGCTTCTAGTTATTATCCTATAGAAATAACTTGTACCTGAGCACAAAAATAGATAAACATGGCCGTGCACTGAAACATTGTCTATAATAGTCAAAAATGTAAACAACCTATGACATTCAGTAGCTGAATAATTAAATGAAGGCATATATCCACACAGTGGAATACTGTTAAAAAGAAGGTTGACATTAACATATCTCCAGTACATATTCTAGAGTTGTAAGAAGCTGCAAAGGAAGACACACAGTATGGATCCATGTAAGCCAAAAGAAAACTCTACATTTCTACATATATATATGTGTGTCTATAAATGCACAGAAAAGAGTTTTGAAGGAGACTTAGGAAATTCAGGGCAGCGGCTACCTCCAGAGAAAGGATAGAGTTTGGAGAAGGAAAACGAAGCAAAACTTCCCCTTTTTACTGTGTAGACTTTGCTGAGTTGTTTCATTTTAATTATTCCAATGGAAACCTTTTACTTTTGTAATTAAAATGCAACATTAACATTGAGAAATGCAGTAATTATTTATGTGAAGTTGGAGAAATGGGTTTCGATTTTCTAGAGACATTCCCATTCTATGTTGATTTACATTTTGTCTCCGTAGCCTCCCAATGTAGACAGCGATAGACGTCCATACACGTTTAGCAGCTGGTAATTCCTGCCATGTGCAACTGCCAAGCAGCAGCGGGGTGCCTTTGTTTCAGAGATATTTGGGTGCAGTGATTCTTTGCTATGGTTGGAAGCCAGTTTAAGGAGGTTCATGCGGCTGAGGTGAATGACATTAAGGGGTAAGAAATGACTTCTCAGAGTTGTGAGTTTGTGCCTTCAGGGACCTGACCTCAGGCTGAGTCCAGTCAGTCATTGGGAACACATTGGCCTTTGAGGTCTTGAATTCATCACTGAAAGTTTGCTCCATTGCCAAGATGCCGTTTCCAAACATATAGTGATTTCCTTGCATATGCGTCCTGAAGACATGGCCCTGTTTCTCTGACTTTCATCCATCAGACCAAGAATTTAAACATGGAGACTGCTGTCTTGCTGCTGCTGGGTCGAAGGCCTTCCTTCCAGAAGAAATTTCTTTTGACCTTAAAAATAGGTTTTGTTCCTTTTCCTGTCAATCTCCTCTTCACCTGAAGGACGCTTTGCCTATATCACTCTATATTGGTCACCCAGAAATGATTACATGAAGAAAGAAAGAAAAAGAACTAAACACCCATAATTAAAAAAAAAAAAAACCCAGATTTTTCTTTTGTATTTTAAATATAAAGTTAACTTTGGGAGGTTGAGGCAGGAGGATCACTTGAAGCTGGGAATGAGATGAACCTAGGCAACAAAATGAGACCCCCATCTCTGCAAATAATAACAAAAATTAGCCGGGTGTGGTGGTGCATGCCTGTAGTCCCAGCTGCTGAGGAGGCTGAGGTCAGAGGATCGCTGGAGCACAGGAGGTCGAGGCTGGAGTGAGGTATGATTGCACCACTGCACTCCATCCTGGAGCTCTCATGGAGGTGCTGGCTGACCAGGGAGGGATGCGATTCCATTTCTGATAACATGGGATCTAAGCCCCTCTGGTATTGACTTCATCTCCAAGTGGCTCTACCATGCGTTGTAACTGTACCGCTGGCCATCCAGAGTTCCTACAGCAGGCTGCAACAATCCAAACCTCAAGTCTCAGTTATTGGAACACCCAAAAGAAGGAAGGCATTTCCCACTGACATAGCTGAAAATAGACACACTTATAACAGAGCGAGAACAAACAGTTCATTTCTGGCCAGAAATGAATTTTGTGGAATCAAAAAGAACAGTAAGTTACACTCCCACATTCTAACTGACAGAGCATGCTGTTGTTTTCAGTTCAATCCATGTTGTAACCCTTGCTCAGGCAAAATCACCAGTAAAAGGGGGCCCCAAGTTATGCGGCCTGACAATAATGTTAACATTCACCCTGTTTCTTCCGGGAAGCTTCAAAATGTGCATCTCCAATTAAGTATGCAATTAAAGGGAAAATAAGAATCACAATAATAATAATAATTGTATGTAACTTGCTCTTAGTTTGAGAATGCACACATAACCAACTCTATTTGTGTGGTTCCAGCCTGTCTGCTTGTTTGCTTGTTCATTCTTTTTTTTGTTTTTTTTTTGAGACAGAGTCTCGCTGTATCGCCCAGGCTGGAGTGCAGTGGCGTGATCTCGGCTCACTGCAAGCTCTGCCTCCCGGGTTCACGCCATTCTCCTGCCTCAGCTTCTGAGTAGCTGGGACTACAGGCGCCCGCCACCACGCCAGGCTAATTTTTTATATTTTTAGTAGAGACGGAGTTTCACCGTGTTAGCCAGGATGGTCTCGATCTCCTGACCTCATGATCCGCCCGCTTCAGCCTCCCAAATGCTAGGATTACAGGCGTGAGCCACCATGCCTGGCCTTTTTCATTCTTTTATTTACTTACAATGTATCTGCTAGATGTCTAGGACCAGGCTAACATCTAAATGGTGCCCAGTAATATTGTTGGAATAAAGGAATGACAAAGCTAAATAGGAATTATCAAGCTGCATATATATGTTTTCAAATCAGTGCCTTGTTACTCTTGCTATGCAAAGATGGAGAGGAACATTGAATGTATTAATGCTTATTCTATTACCAGGTGAGAATCCTGAGCTCTCTGGCTTGGAAAGAATCTTAGCAAGACATGAATTGCCAAAAGAGATTAATCTGACCCCAAAGCCGAACAGAATGCCCCTGTGGAAAAGAAAAATCATCAACAATGTAACTGACGGGTGGAAGAAATGTCACTTGTTGACAAGAAACACGAAAGAGCCTCCAATGTCCACCATAGTTGTCAGGTAGCCTCTGATTTCTGCTTTACGTGGATATATTTAGGGACACACAGGGTGATCACAAAATCTCTACATGCCTTAGCTAAAAAATGATAAGCACTGCTCTATGTAAAAGCACAGAGGCCCCATTTTTACCCACCCCCAAGCTGCTAGAGGAGCCCTTACTGGGAGTAAACTCATGGAGATGGGAGCAGGAGTGTGGGTCCTCCATGGCCCATTGCAGTCTAGAATAGTGAGCAGAAATCTAGCAAGAACAGAGTGGGAAACTTGGAGAGAAACCCAACCAGTGAGCTGTGGGGCTTTTTGGCTGCATAAGTTGTGAAGCAACTTGGTTTTTCATGCCCACCGTTGGCATGACCAGGGGCTAGGATACCATAGCAGGATGTAGTGGAGCTTTGGCTTTATCCCTGGCCTGCCAGATTGTACGTGGAGAGAACTGGAGCACCATTGGACAGCCTTAACTTAAGAGGGCTGGCATGACCTGACTCACATCCTCTCTGGCCTCCCAAGGATTGTGTGGGTGGAGGAGAGCGGTTGGGAGATTTTACAGATCTACAGGCCAGGGATGGTGGCCCAGGTGGTAACAGTGTGGATGTGGAGTTGGTTGGATTGTGGTGCTCAAAGTCATAAGCTTCGGTTCCTTGACAAATTATCTTTTTTGGTGCACTTCTTTGCCTGCTTATGCCAGATAGATGGTGTTTCTATATTTGTTTCTTTTCTTTTCTTTTTTTTTGAGACTGAGTCTCACACTGTCACCCAAGCTGGAGTGCAGTGGTGCTATCTCAGCTCACCGTAACCTCTGCCTCCCGGGTTCCAGTGATTCTCCTGCCTTAGCCTCCTGAGTAGCTGGGATTACAGGCGGGTGCCACCACACCGGGCTAATTTTTTTTTGGTATTTTTGGTAGAAATGGGGTTTCGCCATGTTGGCCAGGCTAATCTCAAACTCCTGACCTCAACTGATACGCTCGCTTGGCCTCCGAAAAGTGCTGGGATTACAGGCGTGAGCCACCATGCCTGGTCTATATTTGTTTCTTTCATATTGCTGCACGTATTGCTGTACAATGCAATGATGCCTACACTTTTTACATAGTAGGTATTCAAGCAATTTTGCCAGGTTGACAGGATAAATGTATATGTTGCTACAAAGACAGGATCAGTTCTGATTTGAAGGTAACATAACCGGGAGACAGTCCCAGCTCATGAATTTGCCTGAACTGGAAGCTTCCCCTGGGATCATTGCCCTGGTGAAATAGAGTCCTTGTCTACATTTTTTTCAGCGTCCTCGGTGGCATAATTTGCCAATTTGATTTAAATATTCGTAGCCAAAGAAGGCAAAGATATATTATAAAAGAAGGTGGTCAGTGGAACCAGGGTGTTTTCTGGACAATGCAAAGACACTACATTTTTGTCCAGAAGTAGGTAAAGGATATATTAAGTGATGATATCTGATTACTCAAGTGAAGATTATTTGACCTTGCTTTGGAAGCCTGATGTGATTTGGCTCTGTCCCCACCCAAATCCCATTTTGAACTGCAATCCTCACATGTTGGAGGAGGGGCTTGGTGGGAGGCAACTGGGTCATGGGGACAGATTTCCTGCGTGCTGTTCTCGTGATAGTGAGTGAGTTCTCAGGAGATCTGTTGGTTTTAAAGTGTGGCACCTCCCCGCTCGCTCTCTGTCTCTCTCCCGCTCCATCACGGTAAGATGTGCCTGGCTTCACCTTTGCTTTCTGCCCTGATTGTAAGTTTCCTGAGGCTTCCCAGTCATGCTTCCTGTTAAACCTGTGAATCTATGATTCAATGAAACCTCTTTTCTTCATAAATTACCCAGTCTCAGGTAGTTCTTTATAGCAATGTGAAGACAGGATAACACAAGGCCTATTTTTAAAAATCCAAGTTTCACAACCTTAGAAAGTTTATACACCTCAGTTTTAGGTCCTGATGTCTTCATTTGAAGTTATAGATCTTTACATCCTAGTTTGGTTTCTGAGAACACAGGAAATGATACTCTTTTTTTTTTTTTTTAACATTTTATTCTACAAACATTTATTTGCTTTCCTTAAAAGCAGGGACTGTCAGTCTATCTTATTTATTTTTGTATTCCTAGTGTTACAAGTTGGAGTCTCAAGTGCTGAGACAGAAATAAGAATGCAAAAGGTTTCCTGGGAGTGGTGTTGTATCAAAGTGGAAGTGGGAAAATAGTATTGGGCAGGGATTCAAGAGGGGAGAAACAGGCTTCGCCTCAGTGGAAGGAGCTGCAAAGTCGTGTTGCAGGAGGCTTGGGTACAGGAAAGGTTGGAGAATTAGGCCCATTTTGCAATCAATCAATCATGAACCTTGTCATGGTTGCTATGACTCCAGATTCCTGAAGGATCTGCTGAATTAACTCTTCTAGTTCTGAGGATGCCTCCTGGCATTAATGATTCTTCCCCTGTTACCTGGTAACATGGTAAATATCATCATTTGATAACTTTATCATTCTTAATTCTTTGTGACTTAACTGACACCCTTGAGAGAATTCATTCTTTAGCCAAAGCAAGCCTGACTATTATTAAGAATCATCAATAATAGCTTTATCCTTAAAACTAGAACTACCATATGACCCAGCAATCCTACTACTAGGTATGAACCCAAAGGAAAGTAAATCAGTATGTCAAAGAGCTGTCTGCCCTCCCATGTGCATTGCAGCACTATTCACAACAGCCAAGACATGAAATCAGCCTAGCTTTCCATCAACAGAAGAATGAATTAAGAATGTGGTGTATATACACAAAAGAATACTTTTTAGCATAAAAAGGAACGAAATCCTGTCATACGAGGCAACATGGATGAGTCTAGAGAACATTATATTAAGTGAAATAAACAAGGCACGGAAAGACAAACTTCACACTGTTCTCACTCATTTGTGAACGCTAAAAATTAAAACAATTGTATTCATGGAGGTAGAGAGTAGAAGAATGGCTTCTAGAGGCTGGGAAGAGTAGTGGGGGCAGTGAGAAGAAGTGGGGAAGAATACTGCCTGCTCTCATTCATATGTGGAAGCTAAAATCGCTGATCTCACAAAAGTAGAGAGTTGAATAGTGGTTGCCAGAGGTTGAGAAGGGTAACAGCGAGGGGTGGATAGCCAGAGGTTGGTTACCAGATACAAAAGTACAGCTAGACAGGAGGAATAAGTTCTAGTGTTCTATAACACTGTAGGGTGGTTATAGCCAACAATCTTTTTTTCGTTTGTTTTCAAATAGCTAGAAGAGGATATCTTGACTGTTCCCAACACAAAGAAATGAAAATTGTTTGAGGTGATGATATGCTCATTACCTTGACTTGATCATTACACATTGTAAACATGCATCAAAACATCACACAATAGCCCATAAATATGTGCAATTATTATGTCAATTTAATAGAAGAAGAGCTTTGTTTTTATCTAAGAACTACTGAACACTACTGATTCATGTCCTTGACCACCTGTAAAATGGTGCTACTAATACCTCGTGTTGTATCAGAGTTGTGACGCTGATAGAGCAATGACTGTGAAATTGAGTTTTGACAAGTATGAAGTACTATTTGAATGCATTCTACAGTATTTTCACATGTTAGATTGAGCCAACTGTAGGTCCTAACCTTGAACCTGCCCTGGCCAACATTTGCTCAGTTTATGCTGTTAATCCCCACTAGCACAGAGAGGATAAGGCTTCTCTCTCACATGGCAATAGCAGTTTTAGGGCCACAAAACAGGCAGACCATACATGAGGCCTGTTGATTTTGACGAAGTTCCTTCAGTGCTATGCTATGTAAACAAATCAGCAGGCACAAAAGCCAGGAGTCCCGGGACCATGCTGGTAAACAGATTTGCTAAGTCTAGAGCTGCAGATGGTGGTGTCTTATCCCTGTTGGTGAAGCTGGCAGGATTCCAACCCCCAGCTCTATAATACTGTAAATCCCTACTGGATACTGCATGTAAATTATAATTACTTGTAAACTGTATTTACTGGCTCAATATGCCGTATTTATATGAACTCTAGGGCTTAATTTTTTTTTCTCTTGGTAAGTGTGACAAAAGCAGTACTTGCACAGAAGACGGCTGTTTGTGCCATATGAGAACTTCAGTTTACATTCCGTAATGTTTTTGTTGCATCAGTGTGGTAGCAACTGAAGACGGGAGCTAGTAGTCAATGGGTTTTACTTTGCCCACCTCTCTGCCACAGACATTTGCAATTTATCCTGACTTGGGGCCACTCCTCCTGTATATTGTACTTACCATGTTATAGTGTCTGCATTGATTTGCTACTGCACTTGTGGGCTGTGTAAGCATTTAAGAAAAACGTTTAAGGTTTCCTTTTTTTTTTTTTTTTTTTTTGAGATGGAGTCTCGCTCTTGTCACCCAGGCTGGAGTGCAATGGCACAATCTTGGCTCACTGCAAACTCTGGCTCCCAGGTTCAAGTGATTCTCCTCCTTGGCCTCCCGAGTAGCTGGGATTACAGGTGCGCACCACCACACCCAGCTAATTTTTGTGTTTTTAGTAGAGATGGGGTTTTGCCATGTTGGTCAGGTTAGTCTCGAACTCCCGACCTCAGGTGATCCTCCCGCCTCAGCTTCACAAAGTGTTGGGATTACTGGCATGAGCCACTATGCCTGGCCATTTTTCTTTTCTTTTTTTTTTTGAGATGGAGTCTTGTTCTGTCACCTGGGCTGGAGTGTAGTGGCATGATCTCGGCTCACTGCAACCTTTGCTTCTCAGGTTCAAGCAATTCTCCTGCCTCAGCCTCTCGAGTACCTGTGATTATAGGCATGCGCCACCACACCTGGTTAATTTTTTTTTTTTTTTTTTGAGACAGAGTCTAGGTCTCGCTCTGTTGCCCAGGCTGGAGTGCAGCGGCGCGATCTCAGTTCACTGCAACCTTCTCCTCCCAGGTTTAAGCGATTCTTCTGCCTCAGACTCCCGAGTAGCTGGGACCACACCCGGCTAATTTCTGTGTTGGTAGAGACAGGGTTTCACCATGTTGGCC